ATGAAGATTTAGGTAAATCCTGGTCCAGGGATGAGCGCTGAACAAGGAAGAAGATCTCATTTTTATACAATTTGCTAAGGTGCTTGGTCTTAGGCAGGGGGGACATGTGGGTGGGCAGAAGGAGAAAAAAAGGCAGTTTGTCAAGCTGTGACAGTTTCTGTACCTCAGTGGCCCTTCCAGGGCATAATAGGATGTTATGGGAACAGGACCTTATAAGAGTTTTCTTACAGGGACAAAAGAATTTGTTTATATATGTATTAGAACAAAGAACAACAGCTGTAGGGAGACATTTAAGAAATTTGGCCTTTTCTTTTTAAATCCTGCCTAAGAACCAAAATACCATGAAAAGTAAACAAAGCATCATTAAAAAGAAAGGGAGAAACATCATGGGAAAAAGAAGCAAACAGAAAATAAATAATAAATTAGCAGACATAAATACAAATATGCCGATATGTTATTCAATGCAAAGTATTAATTATTGAAATTGCGCTAGTAATCGGGTTTGAAACTGTCTCATTTCTATTTGTTTCTTAATAAAATTATTTTTTAAAAATATGTTATTCAACTGCTCTAAAACATCAGGAAAAGTTAAACATTGTTAAAGTTGATGAAAGTAATGGCAAATATCAATTAAACGTTCTCAGAAACCTCCGCGGTCCATATTGATCCAGATAGGTCAAAAAACAAAAAGCCAAAAAGATAAGTGGTGCAATCATTATTCAAAATTGAACAGTGGTAATATGCTTATCATACAAAGCACTCTTCCAAACCAAGAAATTATCATAGATTTGATGACCAATATGTAAAACATCAATGCATCATGAAGTAAGTTTAATCCTAGGAATGTAATATTAATTAAACAGTTAAAATTTAACAGCTTAATACTAGAACTCATATAACAGAATTTAAACACACACATACACACATATACATACTGACAAACCTATCAATAGATGAGAAAAAAAAAACATTGAAAAGTTTTAATGTTAATTCATGACTTTAAAAAAATCTCAGCAAATTAGGAGTAGAAGAAATCTGAGCTTGGAAAAAGACATCAACAGAAACATCTATAAGTGACATCATTCTGTAAAAGGGAGAGAATAAAAAATAGTTAAAAAATTAGGAACATACAGAATTTCACTAAACAAAATAATAGGAATTCAACAATGGTGGTTGTATTACATATTGTTGTATTCAAGTTAGTTGTTTATATTATCAGATATAGGCATGCAAAATTGGTTAAAACACTTATAAAAAATTAAAAAGAAGACAGAAGAACAGAGTAAGTATTAACTGCTCCTTTCAATAGACCAACAGAAATCACCAGTACAGTTATCCAAGCTATCCTGTGTATATACATATGTTTCTCTTCCCTTCCTTGCGTCTTTCTTTTCTCCTTTTCCTACTGGATATTTCTACCCTAAGATTAGGAATAACACAAAATTGTTTGTTTTTACTATTCTTAACTAGTGTCATACCAGAGTTTTTCTTAGTTCAAAAAGGCAAGAAGAATACCTAAAAAGGAAGTGTCTTGATTACTCTTCTCTCATTACTGAGACAAAATACATGACACCTCAAATTCAGGAAGGTTTAATTAGCTTACAGTTTGTGCAGGTTTCAGTCTGTACTCAGCTAGCTCCAAGGAGGAGCAGCACAAGGCAGAGGACAGTGATTCATGGCAACAGGAAGCACAAAATCCTCAAGAGCAAAATGGAGCAGTAGAGAGAACAAGCCTCTCTCCTTCCCTTATACAGCCTTCAGGCTGCCTGCCCCAGGGAGGGCACAACAGTCACACTCATGAGCCCCGCACTGGATCATGAATCGACTGCATGAGGCTCTGGGGAGACATCCAGGTACAAACCAAAACAGGAAGGAAGAAAACTATTCACAGACATGATTGTATACAGAAAAAACTTCAAGAAACCTTAAAAAATATGTTCACAGACATACATTAGCATGCAAATATTATTTTACAAAAATCAATACTGCTTTCAATTCACTAGCAATAAAAATTTGGAACACATTTTAAAAAACAATTTTATAATTAAAAATTAAATATTTGACAATATATCAAAAATTCAATTGACTATAGTCATCAATTTAATATACATAATATATATTACAATATGTTATATATATGTATATAACAAAATTCAGAATCTCTATTTTAAGTAGTGTGAAATACTGATGCATTGTATTGAAGAAGACCTTAACAGATGGAGACAGCCCAGCAGCCTAAGCACCTGCCTGGCAAGCACAGGGTCCTGAGTTCAATAGCTAGTACAAAAACAAAACCAAGGAGAGACATAAATAAACAAAGACATGAAGACAGATACAAACTTCATGGATGAAGATACTCCAAATGGTGTATGTAGCCATTGTTTTATCTATAGATTTAACACAATCCTAATCAAAATGCATGTGTGGATCCACTGCAACAATGGGAAGCTCCTAATGAGAATGAACGTGGAAGAGACAAAGCATTATTGCAAAGGAAGAGCGAATGCAGTGGGCCCGGTCACACCAGATCCCTCTACCCAGAGCATGGGATGCTCTGCTGCGGTAGTCTGCCCATGAGAAAACAAATGTTTAATGAAATTGACGAAGTGCTTTTCCAGGGTGACTGTGCTACGTCATAACACACTAGAAAGATGTGCGGGCTGTTCATCTATTATCATCTGATTTTTGAAAAACATTCAAAAGAAACAATAAGAAAAGACAGTCTTCTAAACACGTGGAGCTGAAAAGTTAGCATCCATTTAAAAAAATAATTGTCAATGTGCACACCTTGCACTAGGTAGAAAAATACGCTGATGTAAATTTAAAAAATACAAAGTATGCAGTAAAACTTAAATGTAAAATTAGAAAGATGAATCTTTAAAAAAAATCTCAGCAACTTTGGCTTAGGGAAGATTTTTCAAATGTGAACTGAAAATATGGTCTGTAATAGGAGAAAAAAAGACATTATCCTTCATGCAGGGGATATTGAAAAGATAAAAACACCAGTGACAAGCTAAAATTTTTGCAAAGGGCCTATTAGATAAAGGAAAATATAAGATATGGAAAGAACCCTTGATAGCAAACAGCAAATAAATTTAATTTTGCTACCTGGGCAAAATTTATCATGTATATCACTAAAGAAGATGCATGAATGGAAAATAAGCATGTATGAATAGATGCCTAACCTCATTACTTATAATGTAATTGTAAACAAAAATATAATGACATATTATACACCTTTTAGAATTGTTTAGATAAAAGGAAAAGAAATTCTGGAAAGAACAGAAAGCAAATAATAGCCCGCACATCTTTCTATTGTGTTATGACGTAGCACAGTCACCCTGGAAAAGAGTATGACAGTTTCTTACAACCCTAAACGCATCCCTACTGCACAGCTTAACAGACACACTCTAGGTGTTTAACATAGAGAAGGGAAATCAGTTTCTACACAAGAGGTTGTTCTCTAATGTACACGGTGCTATAATTTATAATTGCCTAGACTAATAATTAACTCATATTCCTCAAATGGATGAATGGATGCAGAGGCTCATTTCGCAAGCCTTGGGATGGGGTGCAACACAACAGTATGAAACGATGAACTACTGATGCGCAAAGCAGTGTGGATGTATCTTAGATATACTTCTTAAATGAACTAACTTTGTTGAAAGGTTTCAGTAGTATATCATCCCACTTATACGGAATTCTAGATTAGGCAAAAGTATTGGAAAAGTAAAAACTGGGTGGCTATCAGTTACCAGGGTCAGAATACAGAGATCACTTAAAAAAATTTTTGGCAGTGTTGAAATTTTTATTTATCCTGTCTGTTGTGATAGTTAAAAGAATATATAAATGAAACACTGCCTATAACACTGTTTTCAGTGTAGCTAATAAATCCCAAGAACTCTGACTGTTTTGTATATTTGGGAAGAGAATTTTAATAATGTATTGCCAGCATTTATCTCTTCTCCTTCAACTTCAACATACACTGGCTTTTAATCTTTACTTTTTTCCCATAATTTTATTGAGAGACAAATAGCAATGAGACAGTTTCAAGTCAAATTAGTAGGACAGTTTCAATAATTAACACATTGCATACTGTCTTCCTAGTGGCTATGGCTTTTAATCTTTAAAAAGTATAATTCTCAGAAGTGAAAGGTTCATATTCTTAACATTTTTACATTATTAGGATTTTCTGTTGTTTTGGTTTATAGAACATCATTTAAGTATTAATAAAGGTGATGTTTATGTTTTTTACAGAATTGAATACTCATTACAAAAAAATAAAATAAATTCAAATAATTAAAAGGACATCTGTCTATCTATCTATATTCTTAACTTTGTAGAGGAAAGTAGAATTTACTGGATGTGAATTTTAAATTGTAAAGCCACTTATTTATTTACTTACTTATTTGGTGTAAGGGCCAGAACAGCATATGGCAACAGGTTATCAAACCCAGTTCCTTAAAAGGCCAAGATATCTCTCCAGTCCTGTAAAACTACTTTAAAATAACTTTAAGATCTTTATGTAAATTAAGAAGTTTCTCAGTTTGAGAATAAAATAAGATGTTTAAATCTCACATCACATGAAGTCTATATGTAAAACTAATTATCAGTCAGGAGTAAGTCAAGAACCCAGAGTCAATTAACTAGTCAATTGCAAGAGTTAAATGTATACAGCCTCTCCTATTCAATAAATAATATACAAGAATGGGCACAAGATGCAGTTCAGTTTTACGGCCCTGGATTCAAACCCCACACACAGAGAGATAGAAATAAAAGAGATAGACAGACAACAAATATATGAAAGTTTTTAAGATAAAAGGTGTGAAGAACATTAAAATCTACATAGAAGAAAGTCATAGATATAGGATTAATGTCACTTATGCTCTACTCGAAGAATTTAGGTTCTCCCCAGGTGCAATGATTTAATTTCAATATTTCTGCAGTTCAGTACTATTTCTGGGAACAACCTGAACTAGCACATCAGTACTCATCAATACCTCTTCGATGGCACCTGCAGAAATCCTGTGTCCGGCAACATTTATGACATCATCAACTCGAGACATGACGTACACATAGCCTTCTTCATCCATATAGCCAGCATCCATTGTGTCATAGTATCCCTGAAAATAAAAATAAATAATGCTTTATTAACAGGCATTGCTGGATAATGTAATTTTAAGCTTGGTATAATATAAAGTGTGATGAGAATAGATTGGCTGTATTCATTTGACATTTTTGTAGCTATACAATGAAATTAAATTAATTTTGGTTTTGAAATCTTACTAGAATATGATTGCTCCTCTAAGGGCCATGAATAAAATAAAGTGTTCTTATACATGTTCAAGTTAAGTGTTTGAACATAAGAGTTGTAAAGTTTATGAACTCAATTACTTATTTAATAAGAAGTAATGGCTCAATATTTCCAATATACTTTTGCATTGCAAAATAGTTCTTTAATAAAGTTCTACTCTAATTATATTAAATTTTAAAAGCTTTAACCTCCCTATGAATAATTACACAATAAGTCACTAGTTTATTAGCAAGGATTAAGATTTTAGACTCAAATTTCAGTGAAAATTTAATAGTAAGAATGAAATTTAATTTTTACTCAATTTAAATCATATTTTTTGCTGCTCCAAAAATCATGATAGAGTGAAGAATTAAGAAGAATAAGAAACAGAAAAACATATTACTTTCTCTAATGCTTATTTTGATGCCTCTGTTTCTGAGCATTGGTTTTAGCAAACTGCTGCCAGGTCAGTGTGTGTTTCTTAACCTTTCTGTGACTCCACATGCTTCTATGTTACGTGGATGAACTACACTGCCTCACAAGAATTCTGCGTAGCCTGAGTGAAACGGTGTAGAGGAAAGACTTTGGTTGGACCTCTTACAGCAGTTGCCATGGTTTTTACTATTACAGAGGCAAACAAGAGCAATAAACTCTCAAATTGGACTATTGTGGCTCAAATCTCAGCTCCATCACTGAAGGCCTGTCTGATTTATGCCTTTTGTGCTGTTATGAAGCACTCAGGTGAGAGGTTTGAGGTTGGGTAACAAAGTACACAATTACTCCATGTGATTAAACCACATGTCCAGGCTTGAGGGGGATTTGTTTTTGATTTGACTGTTAAGGATAACCATGTCAAAATCACATGCACATATTTGCCATTGTAAGCTTATAATTAATCTTATTAATACCTTGATAACTTAACTAACACCCATCAGGTAGATAGATTGGACTAACTAGGGCCCTACAGACTGATAAATCTTCCCTGACACAGTCTCTTAGGGGAACATTTAATCTACGTTATTGAGGTCTTTCAAATCTGAGCTGTCTTTCTAAAGAAAGCCATTTTGATCCTTGTCATTTGTCTAGTTGATTAGGTTATTTGTCTTTTACTCAAAAATAATAACAAAAGAATACTAAATACTTGTGGTAACTATTTTATTAAATCCCAATCATCCATTCCTCTTTACCTATGGCATAGTGAGGTCAAAATACCCCTCTTATTTGAAAAAAAGAAAAAAACCAAGAGGACAGCAGAGAAGAGGGCAGGTCCCTGATATGTCGTACCACCGAAGTATTATTATGAGTACAAACTACCCCACCCTGACATGGAGAAATAAGAGGTAAATAGCACAACACAACCCAGGAAGACAGTCTCTGCTATTCAGATGCTGCTGGGGATAGAATGGGCATTGAGAAATAGTCTTTTTCTTGTATCTTGATTTTTAAGTGGAATTTTACAATAAAGAGCTCAGGAAACATTCAGAAAAAGATGCCAATATACATAAAGGTAGAGAAAAATATAACTTCTATAAAAATCACAGTAATGTTATTCAAATAACCAGGTGTAGAGAATAAGAGATCTTAATCATATTAAATATTTCTGAATAGTTACTGCCAATTGGCACAAAGGAATTCAGTGGATAAAACAATAAAATTTTTTTAAAAATGGATTTAACAAAATTTATCTCAAAAGCTCTGATATTGAGAGCCTAGGAAAAACTGTTAAGAGATTTGGATGTTTTTATCTATAAGAAATGGAAATTGTCACAGATTAACATTTAATAGGATTTTTTTGTTTTTTGTTTGTTCGTTTGTTTGTTTTTGGTGGAACCAGGGATTGAACTCAGGGCCTTGCGCTTGCCAGGCAAGTGCTTATTTCACTGAGTCATCTCCCCGGCTTTAATAGGATTTTTGATTCATAATTCTAGAAACTAATCACTCAACTTAATAGGGTAAAGTTAAAGAGAAATATATAAGAAAATTTAAAAAGTATTTTAAAATTCTTACAGGAAATTTTTCAAAATACAGATGCTTGAATGCTTCCTGGTTCTTCCAGAGTCCTGAAAAAGCCCCAGGTGGTAACGGCAACCTTATGCACAAACACAGCAATTAAAATTATGATAAAGTGATAATAAAGACAAATTGATTGGAACTATCACTTTTCCAGTGTTGTGGATAATTACAATTCAAATCTGACATTGAAATGGAAGCCAGAGTCTGCTGGGCAGATCATTCTAATTGAGAACTAAGTAGTTGGCCATGTCACAGCACAATTATTGATAAATGGCAGTAGTTTCTGGAAAGTAACAAAAGTCATCCACATTTGGCATCAAACACTCATTAGCAATAATCACCATTTCAATAAGAAGCTCAACATCTGCAAAAATGAATTAAGAGGCATGACTAAATTACTTTCTAAGAGAAACGATTCCATCATAAGAAAATAAATTCTTTTTTTTCCAAAGGATCAAGATAATAAACCATCACCTGTGCTTATATATACAGTAGAATGTTCATGTTACTCATCCAGTGTGCAATCCTAACTTTGATGTGCTTCACTCCCTTCCCATTGTCCATCTTTCCATCCCATTCTGACTACTCAGCAATATGTATTTTCTCACTTCTATGAATGCACAGAAATCTTAAGCATTTGAAACATAAGATACCACATTTCTTGCTTTCCCAACAACTTCTATATATATTACTGTCCCTCATAGTACCGAATTGGTGTTACATGTATCACAAAGGTATGTATTTATGATCTGTTTATCAGTGTTTATATACTAAGTGAGTAAGTTCTTATCTTGATTCCCTGTAGGAAGTGCCTACCAATAAAGACAATCACTTTAATTGTGTTCTGGTCACAGTAAATGTTCATATTTTATAATTTGAAATTTTAAATACTATAAAACTTGAGAACTTTCAAAAACTCTTCCATATTTATAAAACAAAAATATTAAGTACAGTGATGATTCACACTGCATGGGTGAAAACAACACTAAAATAGACAAGGACGTAGAGATAATTACTGTCCATCTAAAGAGACATCATATATCCTTTTCAAAAGCAGTGTTTCCAGTTCTAATAGAAACAGGGCCAGCGAGATAGTTCTGCAGGTTAAATGCCTGCTTTGGCAAGCACAGGGATCAGGGTTAGATTACCAGTCCTGCAAGCCACACCAGCCCCTCCCCAGGGGTACACTGTTTGGTGACGGAGTCCAGGCAGGCGTGGTGGCCCATGCTTGTAATTTTAGCACTGAGGAGGCTGAAAACAGGAGGATCACTAAGAGTCCGAGCTGCATAGTAAGACCCTGTACCAAATATATTTTTAAAAAGCCCTAGATGTATAAGTGGTGGTCAAATGCCCACCCCAGCATTAAAGCCTCCACGTACCTTAATTGTAACTCTCATATCTTCCAGGAAAAAAAAAATGTTGTTAAAAATGAGATCAAGCCAGACAAGGTGGCATGTGCCTGTAATGCGAGCACTCAGGAAGCTAAGACAGCAGGATCCCCACAAGTTCAGGGCTAGCCATGGCTGGCTACACAGTGAGCTCCAACCATGCCTGAGATACATAGTACCCAATCGAAAAGAAAAGAAAAAAAAAGAAAAGAAAAGAAAAGAAAAGAAAAGAAAAGAAAAGAAAAGAAAAGAAAAGAAAAGAAAGTGTGTGGAAAGTGCCTAAAACTCAGCAACCAGCTTGGCCAGAGGAGCTTGGGTGCCTGGCCCACACCCCTACGCTTTGGGGTCAGGCCACTGGGGCAGCAGCCACACAGTAGGACCTGGACTAGAATGCACATGATGGACAGGTGAGACCAGTTGGAGGGAAAATTCTGAATATGAGCCAATACACAGTTGGTAACACATGGTAATTTAGGTGACCAGTACTGTGTTCAGAGAAAAAGACACATGGAATATAATCAGGAGTGTGGGATCACCTACTTTTTGAAAGCTATAATTTTGCTTTATCTTACTTTATCTTTGCTCTTATCTTAATTTCACATTCCTTTCCCTTTTCATCTTTCTCAACTTTTTTCTTTTTCTTACTCAAATCCTCCCCCAAACCGAGAGACTAAGTTCAGATAAGCCTGTGAATCATCCTTCATTCTTTCTTTTCTACTTCTTTGTGTAGTTACTCCATCATGTATGACCATTCTTTGTTCCACAGCTCTGCTTTTATTTTCTTTCCAGTTATCTTTGTCCTACATACCATCCTCCCTACATTTCTACGACAGGATAAATCCATTCTAAGAAGGGAAAACACTTTACATACAAACTCCTCATAATTGGTTCTATTATATAACTATGGACTCTGCTCTTATGCTCTAAAGTACAAAGTCAATATTTACCACAGTTGGGCAATTTCTAAATTGTGCTTAATGCTACCATCCTTGTTAATTATACATCATTGCTATATCATTGTTAGCTAGGATGTCATATTCATTGTAATCAGTTGTTCTCCCTATGTAGCAGTATTGGCTAGATCTGGGATAATAACCTCACCAGAGCCCTATACCAAAATAATGTGCACTGAAGCAAACAGAAAGCAACATTCCACTCTCAATTAGTTGAGAAGCTTGGATCTTGGGACAGACAAAAATCAAGAATCTCCCACACACAGAAGACATCTGAAGAACATACTTTCTCCTCCAGAGGCCTTAAAACTAGAGATATAGCTGCCTACTTAATTAATTAATTAAATTTATTTTTTGGTGGAACTGGGGATTGAACTCAGGCCCTTGAGCTTGCCAAGGAAGCACTTATTCCAATGAGCTATCTTCCCAGCCCATATAGCTGTCTACTACAAAAAATCACAAGGATAAGTACAAAAAACAAAATAAAATTTCTTGTACTAGAAAATGACAAGGTAAAGGATTAAAATGCAATCTCAAATATTCAGCACACCCACAAGAAGTCCAAAAGATCAACATAGAAGAAATTGAAAGTCACACCAATGAAATTTCTGAAATGATAGCAACTAAAGTAAAGGAATAACTCCATGAAGCCATAGAGGAAATCAGATCAGAAATAATATCTAGGTAAAAAAAGAAATGACAACCATAATGAAATATTGCTCAGCTTATCTGAAGAAGACAAAGATTCAAAATATAGAGGAACATAAGAAAATGATTGAAACCTTCAATGAAAGATCTAGAATGATGCAACAGATTCAAAGAGATATCCATTAAGTTAAAATTTCCAGTGAAAATTGACAAAATTGCTTGAATAAAACTGAAAGACTTTCACACCTTGAGGAGAGAATTACAGTTATTGATGTTGAAAGGAAAGATCTCTTTAAAATAACAAAGAACCAAGTAATAACGATTCAACAGCTACAAGATGACACAAAATAAAGCAATATAAGACTAATAAATGTGAAGAAAAAGCAAAGTCAGCACAAATGACAAAAAAGACTATATGAAGAAGTGATAGTAGAAAATTTCCCAAATTGAAATAAGAATCTGACATACAATTAACTGAGGCACATAAAACTCCATTTAGCCATTACTAAAATAAATCTACATGCAAACATATTAGACTCAAGAAATTCAGCACAAGAAAACATATTAAGGATATCCAGCCCGGCCCAGGCACAGTGAGTGTGTGGGAGAGCTTCCGGCTTCCCTGTGCCCGCGGGACCCCTCCAGACAAAAATTCAGGCAC